AAAGAAGTATTTTTAATGTTTAAACAGAAGAGTTGGACATATTTGGCTATGAAGAAAATTTAGATTATAGGATTGAAAACAAACCAAATCTGGTCATGATAGTAGAACTGACTGACCATTTGTACTAAGTCCAATATTTTCAGTTATTGTCATCAATAGCCAACAAAGTGAGTGCATTTTACTGATTTTTTCCAAATTGTGTTTTATGAAACACTGGCCCCTAGAAGAGTGTTTAAAGGCAGGGAGCAGAGAACAAGAAGAGATTATTTCATACTCTTGAAGTGTCAGAGAGTACATTAATATATTAAAGGCTCTGAGAAATCGTACCCTAAAGAAACAAATTTAGTTATGCTTAACCTAGTGCATCTCAAACTTATTTGACCATAGAGTTCTATTCACGTAACATTTATTAAAAACTCATGGGCCACACTTTGGAAAATGTTATTCTGGAATGTCAGAGATATTTTCAGATCCAAATCTTATTTGATCCTTATTTCATCCTCACATGAACTTGATCTGTTTATATGATGCTACTTCTGAGGATGTTTGCTAGGACAGGAGCTGGGGAAATGGATCTGCCACAGATGGGTGAGGTGAGCCAGAACTAGATCATCCAAGGAGAAGAAACAAATCTTCATCCTAACTGCCGAAGCTGACTGTCTAACATTCAATGCTTTACAGATGGTGATAGATTTAGGAGATTTATCTAAATGAAGGCTGGGAGTAGGATACTGGGTCATAAAAACACCAGATATGAGAGCCCCAGCCAAGTGGGCTGGAACAGACTGTATAGAAGAAAGATGGACTAGAATGGATACTAGGCAAAGCAATCAGTCAAAGCCAAGGAGAAGAACCTATGCAGAAGCCCACTCATGCAATCGGAACTGACCAAGAAGCTGGAAGTACAACCTCTCTCTCTCTCTTTCCAAACAGAATCTTACAGAGAGCACTAGTGTGAGAAAGCTTAACTGTCCTGACTGAAGCAGGAGTGGGAAGCCAGGGCCATCTCTCTTCAGTCTTCCCTTTGCTTAGACAGAGTCAGCTCTCTGCAGCACTGTTGGAAAAACATTATTTTAGAACACTTTTATTTATTTATTTAGTACTTTTTACTGTGTTTTGGGTGAAAGTTTACAGAGCAAATTGGTTTTCCATTAAACAATTGATGCACATTTTGTTGTACGACATTGATTGTGTTTCCCACAATGTAACAGTACTCTTTCTACTTCCTCCCTGTGTTTACTGTTTCCATTCATCTCTTCCCTATCCTTTCCTGCCGTTTGAGCTTTTATCCTTGGGCATATGCTGCCCTTTGATCTCATATGGTTGATTGTTCTAATGACTGTGTACCTCTCTGGTGTTATATTTCAACTATTGTTTGACTGAAAGTAGAGGCAGGGGCGAGTTCAGTTCCAGGCTTGAAGGGTGACTGAGGGCCACAGTCTTGGGGTTCCATCAGTCTCTACAGACCAGTAAGCCTGGTTTTTTGGGTTTTTTTAAAATGATTTTGTGTTTGTCTTTAATAATTTTTGTGTTACTCGTTAATAATACCAGGAGAATTTATTGCACCACAAATTGGAGAGGCTCTTTGCATGTAGTACCAGTCACTTCTGCTGCCTAAAAATCATGACTTTTCTTGAGGGCTGACTATACGCCAAAGGTAGCATAGTGCCTAAGGCACTTGACTGCTAATCAGAAGGCTAGAGGTTCAAAAGCCACCAGCCACTCCTCGGAAGAAAGGTTGGGCAGTCTACTTCTGATACCACCTCAGAAACCTAAGGAGGGGTCGCTATGAGTCGGATCCGACTTGACAGCACATAACGACAACAACATAGGCCAAAGGGTGTCTGAGACTGAAGGTGGATCATGTTGTTGTTGTTAAGTGCCATCGAGTTGGACCCGACTCATAGCGACCCCTCCTTGGGTTTCTGAGGCAGTATCACTACAGAAGTAGATTGCCCCATCTTCCTTCCAAGGAGTGGCTGGTGGGTTTGAACCACCAGCCTTCTGGTTAGCAGTCAAGTGTCTTAGCCACTATGCTACCAGAGCTCCTTAGGTGGATCATAGGGGGCAGTTCTTTCTGGACTACAGCCTGAGGAGTGCTGCCAACTTAATTCTCTCTTTAGTTCTCCTACCTACAATTAAGTTTTCCAATGTGTACAAAACAGCATTGGGGGAAGGGAAAAAAAAAAACCACCTCATTTAGAAAAGAATAAGGCATTTCAGAGTTTCAACTAAAACTTCCTTTGGCTCCTTACTGCCTACAAAAGACTCCCTATCTTACACGTTCAAAAAACAAAAATACAGGCCTCCAAAACTACTTTTACAGAGTCATCTTCTACCACCTCCAATTTTTCTACACCCCATACCCCTAAATCTTTACACATGCTTTACCTTTCAACTCCAAGAAATTACTCATGGTCCCTAAACACGATGCTTGTTTTTGCTTTTGCATGTACTGCTCCCTCAAACCAGAGTGCCCTGACCTCTGAAGAATCCCTGCTCTTCTTTCAGGGCCTAACATTTTCTTAGTGAAACCAATTTCCCAGGCAGACCAGGTCATTCTTAACTCAGGGCACTCAGAGCACTTCATAGATCCACTAGTAATAGCACTGGTCACTCTGCCTTATAGATACCTGTTTGCATGCTTCCCTCACCCGTGATGTATGGATCTTCTCAAAGACAGGTGTGGAATCTTGTTCTTTGTGTTACTAGTGCCTACATTGGTCCTGAAATATTATATGCTTGATTTATAGATATATGGCCCTCTTTCAGAATCCAGCCATAACCAACTAGAAAAAAACTCATCTATAGATTTCCTTAATTCTGAGTTCCCTCTGTTGATCCCACCCTTTTGTCTGCCTTCAGCCTAGTCTGGAACTGCCTCTCAATCACCAGGGACCTTAAAGCTGTAAAATGCTTAGAATCACTCTAGGCAGCCACCACACTGGTAATTCTTTTCCAAGACCCATCTCTCCCCCTTCCTAACCCCTTCCCCTCCACCAGCCCCATTTCCCCACCCTCTAACTTCATACTCACTCACTGCCATTGAGTCGGATCTGACTCATAGCGACCCCTCCTTGGGTTTCTGAGGCAGTATCACTACGGAAGTAGATCGCCCAACCTTCCTTCCAAGGAGTGGCTGGGAGTTTGAACCACCACCCTTCTGGTTAGCAGTCAAGTGCCTTAGACACTAGGCCACTAGCCTATTATTTTTGCTCTTACCTTTTGATTCCAGAAGCTTCTTACTCTCATCTTTTTCTCCCTGGCTCAACCCTGATTTTCTTTTATCCCAACTTTTACATACAAGATTTGTAATCAGTTTTCTGGCTATGGTCAAAACTGAACAAACAGGCTGGTCCGAAGGTAGTGGGTCTTCTCAACTGATTGATCACGGTAAATTACAGGCCAACATCTTTGTCTACCCCCCTCACTATTACATTTGACTGATCTTAAAAAATAATAAAAAAAAAAAAAAAAGAACAGAACAGACTCCCTGGAACAATAAGGAAGACAGACAACAGCAAATAAATATAGGATATGTCAGGTAGTAAGTGTATGGAAATCAGGTCCTGTGAGGTATTCTACCTAGCAAGCCAGCAAGGTCACAAAAGGATGCCCATGGCCTGTCCAGATGTCCTAATGAAAATTATCTCTTCCATAACAGTTTTCTTTTATGATTTACCGTTTTACAAACATTTCATACCACCGCCACCACACAAAACTACATGTTCTCCACTGAAATTCAAAAAGGCTCTGGTTGAGAATGATTGACTTCACTGTCCCATAATTTGATTCTTATGGATGCATAGCAATCACCTGAGAATCTTTAAGAATCACTCGGGGATCTTGTTAAAAGGTAGATTCTGGTTCAATATATCTGAGGTGGAAATGCAAATTCTTAGCAGGTGGTCAAACCAGAATGAACTGATTGAAAGCCATGCTCCCAACCATCTCTCCAGCAAGGTAATACAGAGTACATATTTTAGCATACATAAGGTTATATTTTAATTGTGCATTAATTGGCTTCTTTCTTCAAGGAAAAGGGACTATATCTGATTTACTTTAATATCTAGAGTGATTGGTACATGGTAGGTGGTCAAAAAATACTTTTATGCTAAGGATGGGGTGACAAAATTGATTACCTAATTGCAGAGGTTAACAGTGACCAGCTCCAATAAGAAGTTTAAATAAAGTAAAAAGTGTAAGTAAAAAAAAAAAAAAAAAAAAAAAACTTTTATGTTATTGTTGTTGAACCAGAATGATAGTCATTTTTTCTGAGAATATGTAGGCACATAAACTCAGAGATAAGCACAATTCTTCACCTCAAGGAGCTCCACATGTAATAAGAAACTATATTATAATATAGTATAATACAAGATAAGGCTATGGGCTCAAATTGGAGGGATCTTGAGGGGGATTTGGTTCTTTAGGAGAATTAGTATGAGTTAGCAAGATAAACGAGATGAGAGAGAAGATTGTTAACAGAGAACACAGTAATGTTGCAGTAGGTAGAAAACCAAGTCATAGGGTACATATTTGGTCCAGAGGGCGTTGGTTGGCACTGAATTTTTAGCAGGTAAGTGACACTGTATATGTCACTCAGAAATTATTTCTTGGGTGGAGTGGAGAATGAATTGAAAAAGCGGTAGAACAGAGGCAGAGAGACAAGCTATTTGAGTAACTTAGCCTATAGCCATGGAAAAGGAGCAAGATGTTGCAGCAAAAGACAATCACAGTACTTGCTGACTGACTGCATGTCAGGTAAGGACAAGTCAGGAGTCAAAAATAAAGCATTTGTCCTTTTTACCAAAGAAGAAAGAGTCTTCATTGAACCTTAAAAATGTCTAAGTTTAAAACTCCATTGGATCCAGTTCCAACTGCTTTCTCATTACAAGGGACTGCAGTGGGGTGGAAGCAATATCACTAGATCAGTACTTGCATGGAGGAATAATAGATGGACAGTGTTGCAGATTCTAATTTCATTCCTTGTTTTTCTCAAGTCATGTAACCCAGACCACATCCTGGATCCATCCTGTGACAAATGCACTAAACTTGTCTTGCTCAGAGGAGCATGAAGAAGATTGCTCCAGACAACTTCCCAACCAGAAGAGCTGATGATTTTCTGTCGGAATCCGAGTTACATGGTCTTTTGGCATCGCCACCTACATGGATGACCTACGTGGATGACCTGAGCAGATACACATAACACTCTGAGATGCCACAGCAAGATAGGAATAATGCACACACTATTTGTTGAAGTTATGAAATAGAGTCTCTGGATTTAGACTATTTTTGTAAAATTCTTTGATATTACAGTATGCATTTACAAGATCAATTGCCACTAGAGTAGTTCTTTAAGAATAATCTAGTCATACTTTTTGAAATCTTGTATAATTAGATTTTATAATATGCATAATTTTGTTATATATCATTAGGCTTTTGTATATGTAGTTTCTTTATGGTGTTATCAAATATGATGGTTTTTATAATTATCATATTGAAAAATGATGTAGACATAGTGAATACTTGATTTTACTTAATAATTCACTAGCATCCTATGTTTGTATCTTAGGAAAGATCTTAGCAAGCTTTTTGGGTTTTTTAAAGGATCACATCTAGACAACCATCTCACGGACTACTAAGTATAGCTTACATCTTTATGTGGCTGTCTAATTTATCAAATGCCTTTTAGACCCTGTTTTATTAAAACCATACAACACTCCTGTGAGACACATCCAATGAGCATCTTTATTCTTGTTTTTTCACTTAGGGAAATAGCAATTCAGAGAGATGAAGCTCCCTGCCCAGGGGTGGAACTCACACCTAGGTCTTCTGATCCCAAGTCCAGTTCCCTTTCCACAGCACCCTGCTGTCTCTACAGGGGGAGGTCAGGCCTGACACACAGGGCAACATGGTTCTGTTGATGCAGCTGGCTGCACAGCTGTGTACCCAGTGATCACAGAGATTCAGAAGGCACTTCTTCCATCAAACATGTCCCCTTCATAACCCCACTAGTCTTCTCCTACATACCCTTCCCCCTTGTTCCACCCTCATCACCCCCAAACACTCACCAGGTAGGGATTTGGCTTTGTGATGTTGTTTCAGCAGGTTTCTTTCAACAGCTCACCTTTTTCAGAAGCAAAGGGACTGGCTAACAACAGTGATATGCTCTGTTTAGGTTGCCAAAGGGTGTGTTTGAGGCAAGTTTTAGGAAAGAGGTGCGTCAGATACTCTTCTGCTATCAGTTGAGACATCCCTAAACTCCTCTACTATGAGTTCAAGATTGATCTTGTTATTGCTGATCTTACTTTATTTTAGTGTCAGGGTGACTACTAGACTATTTCTGGAAGGAATGAACCATTGACTTGGAATTCTAGAGATTTTCTCTTAATGATTTAAATCTGAGGATGGGAAATAGAGCATGGGGTAAGGAGGAAGTCATTTAAAAATGTCCTGAACATTGGGTACCAACTGAATAATAAAAAAGGACTTATTTTTATCCAATATTATTATTGGTAATATACTTATGGGAACTACGAATAAAATTTATTAATCAGAATACCCTTTGTGTAAACCATTTCCCGTAATACAAAGTTTACTGTTCCTCACCATGGCTCCCTCCTTTCCCTTTCCTCTTTTTCTCTGTCTTTGAAATACAGAGGTTCTGGTGGTGTAGTGTCTAAGGCATTTGACTGCTAACCAGAAGGCTGGTAGTTCTAACCCACTAGCCACTCCTCGGAAGGAAGATGGGGCAATCTACTTCCATAGAGATACCACCTCAGAAACCCAAGGAGGGGTCACTGAGTCGGATCTGACTCGATGGCAGTGAGTTTGTTTTTTGTTTGTTTGTTTGTTTGTTTGGTTAGAAGGAATCTTAAGATGCACCTAATTTGGTGATTTTCAAAGGCTTTTTGTTGAAAAAAACTCATTTTTCAAATGAATTCTTATACAGAATCCATATATATGAATGGATTCTGCATGAGAATATAGATAGATAGATAGATAGATTTTTTGGAAAAGATATTTGCTACTCATTGAAATAAGGTAGAGGCCTGGAGCCCCCATAAAGCAGCCCCCAGCTCTGCTGTGCAAAGCTGGAGCCCCTTAGAATATAGTACAAGAACCATCAGTTAGAACCACTTTATAGATGAGTAAATTGAGACCCTAAGAGGGAAACAACTGCAGGTTCACACAGTGAGTTAGCAGCTAGGTCAAGATTAGACCTACATCCTAACTCTCCCAATCTACTGAATTTCATATACATAAACAGATAATAATGGTGAATATACATATATATTGTGCTCATCCATGTGTAATTATATACATTCCTGAATATAAGTAGAATTTATAATTTGTATCTTGAGTACTAATTTAAAATCAAGTCCAAATTGATAGGTAGTCTTTAGCCCTGAGAAGAGCTTCAGAATTGCTGGACAAGGCTTCTTTGTTGCCTGACAGTGATTTGAATCTTAGGAGGCTTCAGGGAGACAAGTGTAAAGAGAAGCTCTGAGGGAGCTATCCTTGTGTTCCCCAAAAGGTGACTGGGATTCTCAAACACCTGAAGTTTACTTGTCTAAGTCAGTATCTAGAATTGTGAAAGTACCACCTTTTTGTTGTTGAAAAATTGTGTTG